ACCTGCCCCTACTGCACCTGCCGCGTGTTTTTGGCGAAGCTATTACTGGTGTATTCTTTCTAAAGTGAGCTCTGATAAACAGAGGGAGACTGAATTGTCTACTTCTGACTTATTATCTGTCATTAGCCAGTCATACATGATCCCGGGTTATGAATGCCTGGAATTTCAACCTCAAATATTTGGTTAATTAGTCCAACCCTCTACCAATGAACAGGCGGCCCTGTCCTTTTTGGTGCGATCGGAAATATTAATTATCTTAGAAAGGGTGTTCATTGATCGGGTCACGTAAAGTGCTCGTCCGATTGTAGCTTAGGCTTAATGCAAAGTCATCGTAGTCAGCCGCATATCGATCCGGAATATTTACTGTGCCTTGAGCCTCTGCGCACATCGGAAGGAGCGAAAACCGTAATTCGAGCAGTAAGCGCCCTCCCTAAGTTTTCGGTGGTCTTTACAAATAAACTTTAATATTAGCATTTTCATGACTCCTGTAGTCCTCCGTTTGATGATTTTTTCAACCAGTTTGAGACCAGAATATCGTGTTGTCACAGACGGTTGGCTCTTCATTAATGCAGCCTCCGACTCCTAGGATTATCCCACGTCTTTTGGGATGTCTGTGCTTACTATGATTGCTTTTACTCGCTTTCCAGGTAGCCATCAACAGAAAACAGTGTTCACTACGTCTGCTCAGACTACTGAAACCACCGACGACTCTCTTGTGGATCCCCATGGACTCTTTGGTAGTCTTTTGACACATGCACAGCTCGGAGGTCATTATGGGGCTAGTGAAATGGCAAACATCTTGGAACCTGCCATAGATCGTGGTGACTGGCAACTTGAGGTGGAGCGAGTGCTCCCGCAGTTGCGGGTGGCCATCAGGACGGAAGCTAAGGATTGGCGAAGTCACCTGGAGCAGATGACGCGCCATAAAACGGAGATTGAGGCCTGCTTTAGTGAGTCAAAGGGTTATCTCCAGCGTCTGCATGAAGATCTTTCGAGGAGTCTTGACAAGATCGGTAGTCGGGAGAAATACATTAACAGTCAAGTGGACCAACTCCTGACCGAATACAGGTGTGCGCAAGTGAGTTCCTTGTCGGATTTTTCCTGACCGGTGACCTTTATCCATTCATTTGTTTGTCTATTGTCAGTCAAGTTTCTATGCCTTCTCAGTCTGTTGCCTTGCGATCAGCCCTCACGAAAACACTCAAGGTAGCCACACTTAAACTTTCCTCCGGATCATCTGTAGTGATTCATTGATGAACCGAAATTCAGTCAGCAATCTTTTTAAAACGTCTATCTAGCTCAAAAATTTCAGCGTTGCCTACGACAGTGACGCGTTCCCAAGTAAAGGTTAGAAAAAATTTGCTTAGACAGTTTTTATTAAGTCGATGTGCAAGGTGGTTCCGTACATGAAAAGTATGCAGTTGATGGTTAAGAAACAGTAAACGTAAGTTTAGTACCAGGTCAGACTCAATTTCATTGGCAATTTAAATGGTTTTAAGCTGAATAATAACCTTTTTGACTATAGAATTCAAAAAAAGTAATTTTCTACCAAATGAGTAACAAAAATAATATTCGGCACATTTTGTCATAAAATATATTTTTTAATTGACAAGGGTATCGAGAGCCAATGGGAAAAATGCATACTATTTATTAGTTGATTTCTTACCCAGTGTGACCTACACGACCGACCGGTTTGAAATGCAATCAGAAGTGGAAATCATATCATGTCTGAAATACCTTGGGATTATGCTGAACGATAATCCATATTGCAGACTTACCTACGTAATCCTTTCTAATCGAGAACACATTTCAGAATTTCGGTTAATATTGCAAGAGATATGCTACCAAATGAAAGTGCAACGCTAACTTCCTGCCAGAGCAGCGTGTTAGTGATTCCTTAGTCAGCTTGTGATGCCAGTCCCGCGTCAGGTTAGCCATATGCGGACTTAAAGGGGACTGAAGGCTCAAACAACTGCGTACGCTGGCGGGCAGGTGAGCTGGTGTTCACAGCCCCGATGGAGTGCACTAACACATCAAT